CCATGGGCCCGCTCTGCCTAGGGGCTGCCTGCAGCCTGGCGGGTGAGCTCCGGACACCGCCCGCTGGCTGTGGCTTCCTGCTGGCTGCCACCTGCCTCCGTGGCCTCAAGTCCATCCAGCAGAGTGAGTGCCTGGGTCACTGTCAGAGGAGGTGGGGGTCGCGGTGGGTGTGTGGTCTGGGTGGCCCTGAGAGGGAGGTGGCCGTTAGCCCATTTTACAGATGAAGCAACTGAGCCTCGCAGCTTTGGAAGAGGCAGAAACCGAGAAAACCCAGAAAGAGCCAACAACTCAGTGAGTTCCAGGCCCCAAACTTAGGCTAATATTTCATAATAGCTGCCCTTGATCTGTGTCCAGTGTTTCTTGTCTCTTTATCTCGCTGGATCTCCCCATACTGCCCTGATCAAGGAAATCACTATCTTGTCCCCATTTGACAGGGCGAGGGGTTGCGCTGGGCCATGTGGCCAGTGAGCGGCGGAGGTGCGATCGGAACCCGGGCAGCCAATCTCCGTGCTGTCCTAGATGCTGCATAAGCTGTGGCTCCAGGGGGAGACCTGACCGTGGGGACCAGGGGGAGAGAAAGCGGGCAAGGCCTTGAGCTGGGCTTTGGAGGGCAGGGGGTTGGCTAAGTCGGGGAAGGGTTCCTGTTTGCTGGGAGCTGCCGTGTAACAGGCCCTGTGCTGGGTGTTGACCTTGAGTCGTCATGGCAACCACCACCTTCACTCCCATTTTATAGATGATGGAACTGAGGCCCAGGGAGGTTTGTGATTCGCTCAGGGTTACCTCACCTCTGCTGAAAGGAGACAGGGAGGGTCTGAGCAGAGGGCGGTGGAGGCTCCAGGCGGAGACCCTGCTAACTCACCCTGTCTGAGGGTGGAGGCCGCCTTCCTGCTTGTTCCTCTGAGGGGAGTCTGAGTCACAACCCCACTCTCTCTGCCTAAACCCAAGGGAGGTGTGGGGGAGGCCAGGGCACCCACTCAGGGCAGGGAGACCACCCCTCTGCTCATACTGGGTGACCTTGGGCAGGTCTGGGGCTTGTCTGGGCCTCGGTCTCCCCATCTGTTTGGTGGAGAAGGGTTGGCGTGTCCCAGGGGCCCCTGGCTCTCCGTCCCTGCCCACTCTGAGATCCTGTGACCCAGCCCTGCGAGAAGGAAGGGGTGCCCCAAGGGCACTGGGCTGGGGTTGGGGGACCTATCTCCGGGCAGGTTGCAGCCGGGATCCGGCCCTGCCCTGGCATCTTCAGAGGCAGGCCCTGTCCCCACCCGTCCAGGCTCTGTGGCAGGGCCGGAGCCTCGTTCTATTTTTGCCCTCAGGTTATATGAGAGCGGGTGCCGGAGCTCAGGCCTGGGTTCTGGGCATGAGGAGACAGTGGGAAACCTGACCCCCTGGGCACACCCACCCCACCTCCCAGCCCACGCAGGGCCGCAGGCTGGGAAGGCTCCAGCCTCGAGGCTCACCCAGAAGGAGCCCCCGCCTGCAGAATGGTATGGCCGGCAAGAACCTAGGCACCCAGGCACGGAGGGGTGGGTGCCTGGCATTAGGCCCCTTTTTGGCCTCTGCCAGCTCCTTCCTTCTGTCCCGTGTCAACTGCCTGGCCCCGGAGGTGGGTTGGGTGCTTGCTCCAGGCTCCCACAGCACCCTCTGTGCCCCCCATCAAGCCTCTGAGCACCCCCTATTATAGTCGCTTGGTTACCTGTCTGTGTCCCGTCAGACAGGAGCTCTGAGAGGCATGGGCGGGGTTGGGGCGTCGCCATGTCCCCAGCACCTGGCCTGGGACCTTAAGTGGTAGATGTATTAATGGCTGTGACCGTGATGAGGCTATGGTGAGGCTATGTGCATGGCTCAGGGTGCTCCTGAGGGCGCTGAGGAGGCTGGGCCCCACCAAACAGAGAGGGAGGCCCCGCAGAGATGGGGAGGGACAGACTGGAGCCAGAGGGGTGGCATGGGTTTGGGGCAAGAGGAGGTTTCTACTTCCGGAGGTTCGGGGAAAGGCGCCAGGGCAAGATTCCGATTGGAGTGTAAATGGCCGACACCAGCTCCCTTCGCGAGAGCAGACTCCGTGGGAGCAGAGGATGGTAGTCTGGGAAGCGGAGCACCCGGCGGTCCTGGGCACGGCCAGCAGCCTCCTCCCACCTGGGCCGGTTGCAGGCTGGGCGGGGAGGCGGGGAGGGCTGCGTGGGGAGAGGAGTGAGGCCAACTCCCCACTCACAGGAAGGCTAGGAAGTGGGGTGTGAGCTTGTTCTCACCTGTGCATCAGGGAGCAGCCTGGCCCGATCCCCGTCCTCGGAGCTCGCGGCCAGTGGGGAGACGCCCTCAGAAACAGCAATCGCAATGGTAGGAGAGAAACTCCAGAGCCATGGTGGACACAGGTGTGGTCGGGGCAGTGACTCTAGGGGAGACCAGAGAAGGCTGCCCGAGGCGAGAGGCCTGCAGCGATGACAATAACAATCCTATATAATAAAAGGCCAGGGACCATAAGTGTAACGACCGGAATGAATGACGGCTCGACCAGTCGCCATCACTATGAGGTGCATTAACCACCTCTCATCGCCCCCCCACACACACACACCGGGGCGGGCAGGGCGTCTCGGGCGGGGCGCTGGGCCTCTAGTAATATAATAATAGGCCTGGCTGGCGTGGCTCAGTGGTTGAGCATTGACCTATGAACCAGGAGGTCGCGGTTCAATTCACATGCTCAGGTTGCAGGCTCGATCGCCAGTGTGGGGTGTGCAGGAGGCAGCCTATCAGTGATTCTCTCTCATCATTGATGTTTCTATCTCCCCCTCTCTCTTCCTCTCGAAATAAAAAAAAAAATAATGTTAGTAGCAAACACATGCTCTGCCCAGCTCTTCACATAGAAAAACGAGGAAAGGGCATTCTGGGAGCAGGAAACAGGCTGTGCCAGGGCACGGGTATCGGCCACAGGAGCCGAGTGTGGGGGATTGAGACAGCTGCCGTGGTCAGCAGTTACCACCGGGCACCAGGCCCTGGGCCCAGCACCTCACCTGGCCCTGTTACGCATGAGCAGACAAGGCTTGGACAGAGGGTGGCTTGCCTGGTAGCGCACAGCTAGCGAGGGAGTAAGGACGGGATAAGCCAGGGCCCAGCAGAACATGTTTGTCTACATGCGGCAGAGCCTGGTATGTTCAGATGCTGAAACAAAAATGTCTTTGGAGAAGGAGAGGTTGAAATGGAAGGTTGTGGGGGGCTGGCAGAGGAGGGGTCGCTGAGGAGGCAGGATGGCGAGCTGGCATTTTGGGGGCCCCGGGTGCAGTGAGCCACCTCTGACAGAGGATCACCCCTCTCTCCCTGGGCTGCAGGGAGGCGAGGCAGAGGACTGGGGGGGGGGGGGGGCGGAGGGGGATGCAGAACAGGGGCAGAGGCTGGGTCAGGAGGCTAGGACCCTCCTGCCTGACTGTCTCGCACCTGAAATCCTAAACGCCTCCCAGCGATTGGACCTTGAACATGGAGGCCACAGGCAGCTCCTAACGGTGCTATATTTGGAGCGAGCCAGCGAGCGAGCGAGCAGGAGGTATTCCAATTATCTGTTCATTTCTAGAAATGCTCTAGCCGGAGGGACTGTTGCCTAGAGAACAAAGCCAAAACATCAGAGTGAAATAGAGATTTCCTGTTCCAAGCGTAGCCCATGAGTGAACTTCTCTGTGGCTCTTTGGAAAGTGTGTGTCAGAAGATGCAGAGAGGAGAACCCCTGAATCCGTTACTCATCTCTCGCCACTAAAACTTGGACGAGCCCCCAAACCATCATTGCCTTCGTGCAAATACTCCCACTGCCCTGAGCGGTGTCTGACTTTGATGAGGGGCACCACTTCCTATGTGAGCTGGCTGGGTGATAACATGTGTACACATAGACACACACACCCGCACACATGTTCACACATATGCAAGGTGGTAGAATCCATTCTTTCTTTCTTTTTTTAAAAATATTTTTTTATTGCCCTAACCGGTTTGGCTCAGTGGATAGAGCGTCGGCCTGCGAACTGAAGGGTCCCAGGTTCGATTCCGGTCAAGGGCATGTACCATGGTTGCAGGCACATCCCCAGTAGGGGGCGTGCAGGAGGCAGCTGATTGATGTTTCTCTCTCATCAATGTTTCTAACTCTCTATCCCTCTCCCTTCCTCTCTGTAAAAAAATCAATAAAAAAATATTTTTAAAAAATTGATTGGTTGCCTCCTGCACGCCCCACACGGGGGATCGAGCCCACAACCCGGGCATGTGCCCTGACTGGGAATTGAACCGTGGCCTCCTGGTTCATAGGTCGACACTCAACCACCTGAGCCACGCGGCCGGGCTCCCCTCTTACTTTGCAACGCTGAAAGGTTTCCCCTTACTCCTGGATCCATCTCGACAAGCCCCAGTGTTGGTAGCAGAAGATGCTGATTAGCGGATGACAGCCCCGTGCAAACAATGACTCTTTTGTTGTTCTCTTGTCATGCCCGTGGTCATAAGTGGATGAAGCAACGAGTGGACCCCACATTTGACTGAAACAATTTATTATTTTAAAATTCTTTTTTTCTTTTTAAATATAAAGGTCATGTAGCTATTAAGTGGCAGAGCTGGGGACTTCTGCTGGCCTGTACCCGCTGTGGTGGTGGGAGCTACACTGTGGGGTAGTGGGTGTGATAAGGGCTGAGATCAAAAAAGGTGGGTCAGGACCACTTCGTGCAGGGCCTTCTACACTGGTTAAGAACCTAGGATAGCCCGGCTGGTGTTGCTCAGTGGTTGAGCATCGACCTACAAAGCAGGAGGCCAGGGTTCAATTCCCGATCCGGGCACATGCCCAGGTTATGGGCTCGATCCCCAGTGTGGGGCGTGCAGGAGGCAGCTAATCAGTGATTCTCTCTCATCACTGATGTTTCTATTTCTCTCTCCCTCTTCCTTCCTCTCTGAAATCAATAAGAATATATATTTTTTAAAAAAGAAAAAAGAACCTAGGATATTGTTCCCTGGGCCTGGGGAGCCCCTGAGGATTTTTGGGAGCCACATCTCATGTTTATTGGTCATTTGGAAATGACTTGTAGGTTATCGTTTTAATCTATGGGAAGCAGTTTGAAATGCGTGATAATAGGCCCATTTATTTTATTTTTTTACATTTACTGAGCACTTACCTTATAAAGGGCTTTATGTATGCTATCTATTATAATCTTTATAAAAACCCTTGCATATTAGGTTTTATTTTTATTATTATTTTTTAAATGTATTTTTATTGATTTCAGAGAGGAAGGGAGAGAGAGAGAGAGAGAAACATCGATGATGGGAATCATGGATTGGCTGCCTCCTGCACGCCCCACACTGGGGATGGAGCCCACAACCCGGGCCTGTGCCCTGACCGGGAATCGAACGGAGACCTCCTGGTTCCTAAGCCAACGTTCAACCATGCCAGCTGGGCCGTATTAGGTTTTATTATCACCTAACTTTGCAGGGGAGGAGACCTAGGCCTCCAGAGGTTAACTGTCAGGTCACAGCTAGCGAGGTCACCACCCAGGCAGGGTGATTCGGATTCCTGACTATCACGTTCCAGAGCAGGAGCCGCTAGCTCTGCCCGAGAGGGTGGGCGGGCTTCCCGGAGGTGGGGCCGCGGGGGGCAGGCTGGGTTGGCGAAGTGGGGTTTTCTCCCCCCAGGGGCAGGTGCTGATGTGTGCTGTCCGCTTGCAGGTGCCCTGCTGCAGGAGGAGCGGCTGGACGCGGTGACCCTGCTGTACGCCACCTCGCTGCCCAGCTTCTGCCTGCTGGCCGGCGCCGCCCTGGTGCTGGAGGCCGGGGTGGCCCTGTCGCCGGCTCCCACCGACTGCCGCCTCTGGGCCTGCATCCTGCTCAGCTGCCTCCTGTCCGTGCTCTACAACCTGGCCAGCTTCTCCCTGCTGGCCCTCACCTCCGCCCTCACCGTCCACGTCCTGGGCAACCTCACGGTCGTGGGCAACCTCGTCCTGTCCCGGCTCCTGTTCGGCAGCCACCTCAGCACCCTCAGCTACGTGGGCATCGCGCTCACCCTCGCGGGGATGTTCCTTTACCACAACTGCGAGGTCGTGGCCTCCTGGGCTGCCCGCTGGGGCTTCTGGCGGAGGAACCAGCCTGGCAAGGGTCTCTGAGGCCTGGCAGAGCGCCTGGGCCGTCAGGGACAGCCCCCCCAGCCTGAACCCAACTTGGCCAGTGGCCGTGGGACAAGCGGAGAGCAGGCAGCCACTGGGCCGTGGGAGGGCGAGGTGCCTTCGGGAAAGGCCACCTGGGGGGCTGGATGGGGCCTCCCAGCGAGACCCCCCTGTCCCTGCCTGCCCCCTCCCCTCACCCCAGGCCCCGCTCACCACTGGATGGTGGGTCCACGCCTGGCACACTCACTGTGCTTGTCAGAGTAATTATTATTAATCCGACGACTACGCCGAAAACTGCTGGCCAAACTTCGAGAACCTCTCCGTGTTCTGGTGACGACGATGACGATTCCTGGCGGGTGCACAATCCTCCCTCCAGGAAGCGGGGGAGGCAGCTGGGGGGTCCGGGGACGGGCTTGTTGCTGCTGGGCTCCCCTGGGGGGGGTGTCATCTGTGCCAACTCCCGGCAGCTGCTGTAGCCTCATCCCTGGACCCTCCAGTTTTGGGTCTTCCGCCCTCAAATAAACTATTTTTGCTTGTACCCCTGTGTCCTTCTTCAGGGTGACAGCCAAGGAGATACAGCGGAACCTCGTTTCTCGAACTTAATTCGTTCCGGAAGGCTGTTCGAAAATCGAATCATTTTTGCCCCCCTAGAAATCATGTAAATTAATCTATTCCAGACCCCCCCCAATAATCCCGTTTTAACCTTTCTTATATATTGTACTGTTTAATCCATAAACAAACACCTTAAAAACAAAAGGACGTGAAAATTTAGTAAGAAAGGAAACGTACATAAAAAAATGAAAAATGTCTTAAAAATGGAAATTTAACAATAATTATAAGCAGCAACAAAAGCAAAAAAACCACAAAAATATTCACAGCACCGGATCCCGAGATGTTAACCGTGGTAACCGGACTCATACTCGCGCGCTCTCTCCCTTGCCACCTGAGAGATGCTTGACTGTCATACAGGTATCGGCATGAAAGGGCTGTCAGGTTGGGAAGCGAATTGTTCGAGATGGGAGACGTTCAAGAAACGAGGTTCCACCGTATGGGGGAGTGACGGGCTCACTGGCCCCCAGCCACCCACAGAAAGATGCGGACACCCTTCCTTACGCACTGTGACCTGTCCCCTTCTCCAAAGTCCCTCCACTGGCCGGGCCACCACTGCCCATCAGGGAGGCAGTGGCTTCCTCCCCGCTCTGCTCTGGGCCCTCCACTCCAACTTCCACGCGGTCCCAGAAGGATCTTCCTAAAACACACACCTTCTGCCCCACCTGGTTTGGCTCAGTAGCTAGAGCATCCGGCCTGTGGACTGAAGGGTCCCAGGTTTGATTCTGGTCAAGGGCAGGTACCTCGGTTGTAAGCTCCATCCCCGGCCCTGTTTGGGGCCCATGCGGGAGGCAACCAATCGATGTGTCTCTCTCACATCGATGTTTCTCTCTCTATCTCTCCCCTCCTTCCACTCTCTCTAAAAATCAATGGGAAAATATCCTCAGGTGAGGATTCAAAACAACAAAACAAAAAACCAAAACCACAAGGACCCTGCCTGGATTAGGGGAAATCCTGCTCCGCCCGCCTCACTGTATGTCTGAGGTGGGTAGCCGCCCTTCCCTGAGCCTCAGTTTCTGTATCTGCAAAATGGGTATGATGATCCCCAAGGAGAGGGTTCCAGTGAGAAGGCCGATGGGCAGGGCCCGAGAAGAAGGGGGGTGATGGTGTCAGTTGACCCCCATCTTGGGCTATCATCTTCTCATCCACTTTCTCTGAGGCTCCAGGCCCACCGGGAAAGTGGAGACAGCCTCTGCTTGCTTCGTGAGGAGGGGAGCTAGACCAGGTTGGGGCTGGGACCCAGGGACCTGGGACTCAGGGAGGAATCATTCATGCCTTCGCACAGACAGAATTCCTGCAGGACCGCCATGCCAGCCAGCGCTGTGTGAGCCCACGGCCGGGGTTGGGGGCAGGGAAGGCCTGGGAGTCACCTGGCCCAGGAAGGACAGATGCAGGGTTTCCTGGCCCTGGCCTCCACCCAGGCTGGCCTTGCAGAGGGAAGTGGGCCCAGGGTGAGTCACTCACCACCCACCCTCCCTGTGACTCAGAGATGCCCGTGGCCCAGCCCCGTCCTGGTGTCACTCAGGCACCTCCGGGGTCCAATCTGCAGCCTGGCGAGACGGAACAAAGGATGGACGACTTTGGGCGGGCAGAGCCTCCTCCGGACTCAGGGTAACAGATGTCACCTTCCTTGGGCAGTTCTTCCCTACCTCCAGCCCCGCTCTGCCCCAGGCCACGCCGAGTCAAAGGTCACCCGCAGCTCCCTGCACTTCTGCAGGCAGGGCCCTGTGCACATTCCATTCTCAGCGCTGGTTTATCGCCTCTTCCCCACCGGACTGGGCCCGGGGAAGGCTGAGGCCACTGTCCCCTCCGCTGCTGTCTCCCCAGCATGGGCACGGATGAAGCAGGCAGAAGAGACTAATAGCCAAGAGCAGGGGCCGGAGCGGGTTCATATCCCAGCTCTGGCACGTCCAAGCCGTGTGACCCGGGGCCGGGCCTTCCCCTCCTGTGCCTGTTTGTGAACTGGGAGCAGCCGCAGAACCTACCCCCATCTCGCCCGGGAGGCTGCAAGTGCTTAGCAACAGGGTCTGGAACCTCCCAGGTCCTCGAGGAAAGTTAGGAGATGGCTTACTCCAGATGCCGTCCAGTTCCTCCTGCAAGGCTTCTCATGCTCCCCGACCCCCAGCCTTCACTGCACAGGGAGGGCCCCCAGGGCTGCAGGCGGGAGGGACACCCCAGCTCCCACCACCCTGCCCTGCCTGGGAGGAAGCCGGGAAGCTGGCTCTGAGCTGGGCATCCTGCCATTGTGAATTCAGAACAAAGCTGCGGCCTTGTCTCAGCCTCAGCTGCCAGGGGCCCCTGCCCTCTCCCCAAGGGGCCCTGGGGTTGCCATTCCGGGGGCCGGGGCAAACGAGGACTCTTCTCACTTCCTACTCTGCTCCCGAGTCAGCTGAGGGACCCAGCAACTCCGCTCTCCCCGCTTGGTTGCAGATACTTCCTGGAAACACCAAACACCATGGAGAGCCATGGAAGGTTCTGAGTGGCAGGCAAGAGCCAGGATGTTCGAGAAACATTTCCTGATAACGGCCCTTCGGTTCGGTCTGGATCCTATGTGGAGGAGATACCGAAGGGGCAGGGAGGCCAGGGAAGAGCTATTGCTGCGGTCCGGGTGAGCAGGGGACAGGGGGGGCCGTGTCCTGGGCCCAGCACATAGCAGCATCAGTTGTACTGAATTGGGGTGACAATTATCCCCAAATGTTATGCCTGAAAGCATTATGGCTTCAGGACAGACAGACTGAGGGAAGTGATTCTTTTCTTTTCCATCTGGCCCCGCCCCCAGTGAAGCCTCAGACTGAAGTTGAAACTTGCAACTCTGTGGGATCCATTTCTCAAGCTCCCTCCTCCCCATGACCTCCCCCCTCCCCAGCCCCCTCCCTCCAGTTTCCAAGACCCTTCATTCATTCTCTCTCTCTTTTTTTCCCCCTTCATTCATTCTCTAGGCCTCCAGCTGGAACTCAGGGCCCTTAATCTCCTTACTCTGCCGCATACGTTCTGTGAATGGATCTGCTCCGGGGCCAAGTGACTGAGATGAAGAGAAAAAAGGAAATAGCCACCGCTGGTACGAGGCGAGGTTTGGGCCTGCAGCTCCTGCCTTCTGAGCCAGGGCCTGGGAGAGGAACCCGGGGCCTGCTGTCAGGCCTTCTCTCCACAGGCGCCCTAGAGAAACGAATGCCGCCTTCCAGCAAAGGCTGGTGGGGGGCTGCCAAGACCTTATGTACAACAGCACTTGCGGAAAAAAAAGTTAAAAAAATGTTATATGGTGGAATGCTGTCTTTGAAAATTATCATACGCATATATCAAATCCAGAAAACCAGAGCTGGCCCTGTGGTTGCAGGTGGGAGCGGCACTGGCCCGGAACCCCTAGGGTTCCCAGAGCACCATGGATGGTCACTTATCCAGTAGGTTAAGCAAGGAGGTGCCATGATGCTTAAGGCTCTTGGTTTGAAAGAACGAGGTGGGATTGCGGCGCTCAGGCCTGGGTTAGCTGGTCTCGGGGGTTGGGGGGTGGGGAGGTGGGAGTTGGGGAGGCTGCCGGATTCCAGTCTTGCTTTGGGCGCCGGTCCATTTGACCCAGGCACCACCTGCCTTACTCACTCTCCCCTCTGACCAGTAGCCATGACCTGTCACTCATGGGGTAGAAAACTTATCTTCACCATTTTACACTTAGTGAGTTTAATCTTTAAAGAGATGGATTACAAGATAAAAGCTACGGCACGCTTCCTTTTTTATTGCTCTGATAAAAGGCATCATCTGTTTTTTTTCTGTAGCACAAAAGTAGGATGTTTCAGTTCTTAGTGCAGGATCAATGGCAGATCTGCACCTCTGACCCCCGATGCGGGGGCCGGGGGCATGGCTTACAGTGGAATCATTAAACGAACCTCCTTCTCGTAGATGTCAGGGACCCTGCCCACGGGGGAGCTGACCATGCGCACGGTGTTCTTGCCAAACAGCTGGAACTCATAGTGAATGAGCTGCTCCCAAAATCCACTGTTGGGCCGGATGATGGGCCGACAGGACTTGGTCCAGGCGTGGGCCTCCAGCAGGGACATGGTGTGGTACTTCATGAGGTAGGCGAGGCACAGGGCAGCCGAGCGGCTCACACCGGCTGCGCAGTGGAGCAGCGTGCGGCCCTGCTTCATCCCGACATCGTGGATGTGGTCAGCAATGGGGTCGAAGAAGTCACGGAGATGTGACGTGGGAGTGTCGGCCACAGGCACCTGCACATACTGGATGTCTTCATACAAGGTACTCACCACCTCCACCGAGACATTGACGACCGAGGTGATGTGGTTGCTGGAGAGCATAAGCCTGTTGTTGGCGGCCACCCCATTGCTGATATACAGGCTGCTGGTGATCTGAGAGAGGCCGCTGACCGAGGGCCGTGGGAACTGAAGCGGGGAGGTACAGGGAGATGCGGTCATCAGGCCGGTGGTCAGCGGCCAGTGAGACATGCAGGCCGCATCTTTCTGCTAGGCTGTGTCCATGGAAAACTGCAAGGAGGGAGAGAATGTTTAGAGGGCGGGAGCCCCGCTGGGCCAGCAGGCCAACCCCAGGGGATTCCTGGGAAATGGATGGATGGGCCTATAGCAGGATTCCCCCAGGTGGTCCTCTGCCCGTCACAGTAGAATGACCCAGGTTACTTATTAAAAATGCAGATCTCCAGGCACTTTCTCAAACCCACGGAGCAGGATCTGGGGTGAGGAGCAGGAGTCTACACGCTCAGCAGGACAAAGGACAACGCCCTGAGTCTGGCACTTCCCTTCAGGGGCCCCGCATTTTTAGTTGGGCTGACTCGTGTCCCGCAGCTGAGCCTTAGCCTAACTCTCCACGAGGCTCCCAAAGCCCCTTCTCTGTTCTCTTCAATCCTCTTTCCTCCAGCCCCTCTAAAGGGAACCACTCACATGCCTCCCTCCTCTTCTGACTTTACGGTCAAACCATGAGACTCTGAACCAGTGACATGAAACCAGGGCCCACTGTGCTCAGAGTCACTGGTTGTATTGAGAGAGAGGAGGGTCTTAGCTTCCCTCTCCAAGAACCATCTCTTTTTAAAAAGTATATATATATATATATATTATTGATTTCAGAGAGGACGAGAGAGAGAGAGACAAAAACATCAATGATGAGAGCAATCATTGATCGGTCTCATGCACACCTCTACTGGGGATCGAGCCCACAACCCGGGCATGTGCCCTTGACCGGAATCGAACTCGGGACCTTTCAGTCCACAGACCAACGCTCTATCTACTGAGCCAAACCAGGCAGGGCGAGAACCATCTCTTTGAAGAGCTAAATGTGCCCATGTGCAACGGTCCTACGTCAGTAACCACGCTCCTGCACATCGCCTCTAAGGACGGCCTGGGGAAGAGAGTCGCTGACAGCTTCCTGGAGGCCAGCATAAGGGCACCCCTGCACCCCCCACACCCCAGTGGCCAGTGCAGCGAGGCAGAGGGGCTTCAGGTAGACAAGCCATACCACAATGATGCGGTGTATAGCAGGATTGTGCCAGGGACCCCAAAGCGGGGCAGAACCCCATCTTCTCCTAAAAAAATCCAGGTCCTTTACTCTCTCAGTCGTGAACAAAGCTGTAAAAACAGCACATCTTCACGTTTCACTGAAATAGGAGCATTCGGATTTAGAGCACAAATGGCAGTCTTCGTCTGGCACAAACAGGCAGGGAGCTGAAGTTCTAAACCCTGCTTAGTGTATTTCAGTGGCTGCCTACTGTCAGGATGAGATGGCGTCCCCTAGCTTAGCGGTCAAGGCCATATACACCCTGGCTGCCACCCATCCCTCCAGCCTCCTGTTAGCCTGCCCTGTGTCCTGAAGGGCCGCAGCTGGCCTGAGCCACTTGCAGTCCCATATGGACATCTGGTCCTCTCTGGCCTTTGCTGCTCTCAGTCCCTTTCCTTACAAGCTTGTCAGATCCTCATCTGTCACATTTCGCAGAGGACTGGTGAGCCTGCAGTCTTAGCCAAGGGCCACTTCCTGGGGGAAATCCCCCAGGGTCACACTCCTCCCCTACATTTGATCCAGTCCCTGCTCCAGGCTTTCTAAGCCCTAAGAGCTCTCCTTGCTAAGACTCCCTGAAGATGTGGCTTTGCTATGACCTGGGAGTTCTATTGGGACATCACTGTGTCTCTCTTCGCTCCCACTGTGTAACCAGTGCCAAGCTCTACGTCTCCACAAGTAGGTGCTTGATAAATATTTTCAATGGGAGAATGTGTCCAACAAGTATGACTCATCCTCTGGGATATCTGGGAAGGATGCGTTCTCTGGCTATGTTTCTCTAGAGTTTTGGGGAGGGGCGGGGTGGAGGTGAGTGTGGTTCCTAGGCTGTTGGAGAGGAAGGACAACGGCTGCACAGGCAAGTCCTACCTGCCAATGGCCCAGCATCGAATGCATCAGGCTCACCTCGGGGATGGGGGCTTGTTTGTTCCAAAGATCGCGTGAGGGCAGGGAAAAAGCCTCCCTCTCCCAAAACCAGTTGGAAGCCTAAATGTCCTGGATCCTCCTCATCCAAAAACCCAGAGAGAAGTGGGCTTCGGTCCGAAAGCCGGCCTTTCTGGTCTCAGTAGATGTGGGACAAGTCCGCAAACACCGCGGGGCGCCTGTTAATCCTGGGATATAAATGAGGAACGAAGTTCACGGGTGGGCCGGAGGGAGGCGCCATTTCCAGGGGAGAGCCAGATAGGTTTCTTAGGAAGTTGGCGCAGCAACGGGCTTCCTATCGGCTGGGTATCAAGACCCAGATGGTCTGACCTCTCTGCCGCGGGCGCGAGCGCAGGTTCGTTCAGAAAGCAACCGTGCTCGAAGCCTCGGACCAAGGTCTCGAGGAAAGAAGACCAATCCGATCACCGCCTCCCCGGCCCCGGCCACGGGAGCCATCGTTCCCTGCGGCCCAACGCTCTGGTTTCCATAGTAATGGTCCATCATCCGGGAAGAAATCCGCCGTGCCGAGTCTTGGGAGACACCACGGCCTCGTCTCCCAGCCCGGGAGCCGCCCCGCCCGGACTCACCCGGTTACCCGCTCCACGATCACGCGGGGGCCACAGCCGTCCGAGTCGAAAAGTAGGGTCCGCTCAGCGCGCGCAGCCCACTCCCCTGGCCTAGCACGTCTCCATGGCAACGACCCGATCACGCTACGGCAGCCGCCGAG